CCCCAAAACCCCAAAACCCCTCAATGCTTAGTTATGAAAAATTAATTATTTCTGAAATAAATTATATTATATTAGTAATACCTGATGAATGTTTTTAGTATATTAAATGTTTTAGAATTAATTCACTATAAAAGAGGATCAAGGCAACAGCAGTAAATCAGAGTAGAGATTGAACCTTGACCTCTCCTTCCTAAAATTGAACTAGTCAGATAGGCATTTTAAATCCCCAAGATATCTTAGTAAATAGCAGTCCGATAGAAGGCTAATGGAAATTTAGCCAGTTAGTCCAGTATTCAATTCGAAGTAGCAAACTGAGTATTTAAACAACATGCCAAAAGAAATAGTAACAGAAATAAATAATAGAATCAATGACAACATAAATGTCAACATCAATAATAAAAGCTAAGAGCTATTTCTGCTTTAGCCAGGAAAAAACTCAAAATCACTCTTTAAGCCCAGAAAGCTATCTTCAAACTTCAAAAGACAAAGAAGGAATCTCAAACAAACTTAATCAAGTGAAAGCTATGCTGAAGAATTTAGCAATATCGGCGGAAATAATCCTATCAATTAAAACGAAGAAAATGGAGATAGCTCAAATTAACATCAGCAAATTTAAAGGCCAAGAATCAGTGTAACTGAGATGAAGTTATCCAATCCAGGAGCAAGAGTATCAAGGATAGATAAAATATCAGAGGTCCTTTAATAATAGAAAATTCAAACATACAATGAGTGGAAGGAATGCACCAAGGATATCTACAAGTATGTTATTCAAAGAACAGAGGAGGAATTAAAAGTAGTAGACTAGTTCTATAAAAGGAAACCAGATTTTTTAAGAACAGATGAGGATCCAATTTTGAGTGATATTCTAGAAGAGGAATTCAGACACCAGATATAGATTTTGAGGGAAAAATAGATTAGAGAAAGGAATAATGATGAAGTAAAACCATCAGAGTTTTTCAAACATCTAATGGACTTAGTAAAGAGGTATAGGATGAAATTAAGAGGAGACAAAGAATTGGCATTTGAAAACATTCTTATCAATATGATGAATGAAGATTATAACGCCTATTATGAGTATAAGAAGAAGCACAACTTTCTGGATTTAGAGAAGAAGAACAAACTAAAAGATACAACTATCCTAGAAAACTTTGATTAATAGGCTGGACAGGGACAAAATTAGACTACCTGGAAAAACAGATAATATGAAGTCAAGTGATTAAATTCAGAAGAGAGATAAACTCAAATGCTTAAATAATACAATATTTTTAGTGACATTCTATATGAAGAAAATGAGTTGTAATAAATCCAGCACAGATAATCGAATGTTCACAAAGGCTTTAGTAAACTGGTTCATTTAATGGAGGATAAGCTAGAGTCAAGCAGAGCATAAAACGGGAAATTTATGAAGTATATATAAAGAATATAGAAGCTTAAAAATGTTAGGGAATAAAGATTGGCTAAATAGAGGGGATATCGAGAGCCTACGAGTCCAAGTCCATCTCTGAAAAAGGCAAAGAAGATATCTGAAATGAGTGAATCTGCATCGCAAAGTAAAGGTGTTAATCCACTTATTTATCCCCAAAATGAACTATAATTTGACTTTTAGCATCTAGTACTTAGTAATCCTGATCTTTCAGTTAAGAAACCAGGAGAGCAGATAGAAACTAGATTTTAAACTAAAAGAATAAGTGTGGATTAAGCTAATATGCCTCTAAGTCAAAAAAACTACCCTGCCAAACATTAAAGAAATAATAATTCTCAATTTTAGCAGGATTCTAGATTTTTTCATTCTAGAAAATCAATATAAGACATTAATTTAATTGGGGGTGAGAAGTTTCAATTTTCAGATTAAAGTACAAGAATTGATTCTAACCAAAATCGTTAAAATATATAAAGAATGCAAGCAAAATTTATTAGGAGTAATGTAGAACTCCCTATAAGATAGACATAATAATCACAAAGAGTGCCAAGAAACGCCTTTAGTCCAAAATAATCTCCCATTAATACAACTGCAACTGACTTCTACAAAAGAAATCTAGATTAGATAAATAAGAAACTTAATTTTTCATGCATTATTTCGCCAGAGCTCTAGCCAAAAATACCAATCTTAAGAAGTCGATAACAATCATAGTATTAATCAACTCAGCCTTAATCAAGTTCATATTCTGAATAGAGGGTCAAATTTCAAGCCTAAACTCCCAAAGTCAAAGATATGAAAGACAGGATAAAACAGCATCCAATCAAGGAAGATTCATTTAGAATTTAGGTGAGAAAGGATAAGGAGGAAATTTCTGAAAAGCTTAAGGACATCAAGAAAAGTATAGCTGATTTCACTGTCTAATTTAAAGAAGATCCCTAATAAAACTTCTAGAACTAGTATGCACTTAAGATGTTTTAAGAGGACATTCGCTTTGAAAATATAAAGAATTCTATTAAGATATATGATGTTATTGAGCATGCAAAAAAGCCGAAATAGCAAAAGTTGCTTTACTTTTATCATGTTAACAGTCGAGATGAAATAAATGCTGAGACTAAGCTCATTAAAAATGAGGTAAGATAGGGTATAACTGATCCTGTAAGAACAGCAGCTATTATTGAGCTCTAGAACTTCATTAAGAAAAATGTAGGAAATAAAAAAGTAATGAGTAGAATTGCTGAGGAAAGCACTCATAAAATGATGGTTAGTAGTAAGAATAAAAGGGCCTTAAATGAAATAGCTGCCCTTATTGAATCAGAATTTGAAAATAAAAACAATCCCAGACGTGATATTTTATCATTATGAATAAAGTCAATTAAATCTCAATAATAATTTATTTCTTTAAATATTTTATCTTTATGCTTCTGGGGTTTTGGGGTTTTGGGG